TAGTTTGTCTGTGCGGGGGTGAGTGAGGGGGGGGGGGAGCATTAGAGTGTAAGCTCCTCTGGTGACTGGCTCAGTTTTCTCTGTTTTCTGTACAGCACTGTGGTATATGTCAGAGCTATAAAAATTTATAATAATAGTGTGTGACTGTGGGTGGGGGAGACACATTAGAGTGTAAGTTCCTCTGGTGCAGAGACTAATGTTATAGGTCAGGTAGCAGAGCAGACCTTGGTGACCTCTGACCTCTGTACAGATATGTGGCCGGAGAGAGACAAGAAAGCTCGCCTCTTCACCAGGAACATTGACGAGGATGGAGTCGGCTTTGAGTACTGTATGTTCTATAATGAGGCTGAGAAGAGGACAGTCTGCATATTCCAACCTGGGCCCTATCTGGAGGGCCCCGAAGGGTGAGCGTCTTTTTCTTTTGCCAAGTCTGTCCTACCCAGAATCCTTTGTTTTCTCAGCCCTACGGTTCTGCTTCAACCACTTTTGTTCCCTTTGTCCTTTCTAGCCACACACACGGAGGATGCATCGCCACCATCATAGACGCCACAGTGGGGACCGGAGCCGTATATAGCTGCGGACGGGCTATGACGGCCAACCTGAACGTCAACTATCGGAAGTAAGTGCGTGGGGTGGGCCGTGTAGTGTGAGGACCTAACTGATTGGATATGGAAGGCCTCTCCTGCTAAAGTAATGATTGGAGGTGATTGCGGAGATGTAGTATTGGGGGACCAATGGTGGTGGTGGTGGGGGGGGATGATTTATGTATTATTGATGATATGAAGCTGTGATACCGGAGAGATGAGAACGTGTTGTCTCCGTGTCTGTAGTCCAATCCCATTGGGATCTACAGTCATTGTAGACAGCCGAGTGGAGAAGGTAGAGGGCCGGAAAATCTACTCAAGCTGCCAAATTCGCAGTCATGATGATGCTGTGCTGCACAATGAGGCCACAGGTGAGGGCTGATGGGAAATCCCATTGCTCCTGTCTTTCCTCCTCTGTCCCTCCTGTCATTCCTCCTCTGTCCCTCCTGTCATTCCTCCTCTGTCCCTCCTGTCATTCCTCCTCTGTCCCCCCTGTCTTTCCTCCTCTGTCCCTCCTGTCATTCCTCCTCTGTCCCTCCTGTCTTTCCTCCTCTGTCTCTCCTGTCTTTCCTCTCCCGTCGTTGCTCCTCTGTCTCTCCGATAGTTGCTCCTCTGTCCCTGCTGTTGTTCCTCCTCCTCCCCTCCTGTACCACCACTGATAATGTTTCTTTTATTTCTTCTTTCAGGTTTGTTCATTAGAGTAGCCTTGGGAGAATCTGAAGCCAAACTATAAACTCTTTTACATACGGACACCTGGAACTATTCCACTTCTCTGTTCTATTTTTTTATCTTTTTTTGCTTGTAACATTTTGGCTGATTTACTTCAGGAGTAGACCATGATCACTGTTTTGTATCATCCAATCACGTGCAAGCTAGAAATCCTGTGTTTTCTTTTATTTAATTTTCCTTGCACATGATTGGGTGTTCTCTCACCTTAGTGAAAATCCCCTTTCATAGTGAACATGCTCTACTCCTTTAGTATATCAGCCTCACTGGGTATCTTTTAAATAGCTTTGTTATTTATTAGTCTTCCCATTGACTGTATTAATAGGTTATTTTAAGGATTTTCTTTGATATATTTATTAATATCTTCATATACCTCTGTACAGTTTTGGCAGCATTAGAACAGTGTTCAGGAGAAAACTCTCACTGGAAACATGAATAAAGTTTTCTTTTTTTTGAATAGAGTTGTTAGGTTGTGGCTGTGAAGGTTTGTCTGCTGATTTGTATTTCCTGGATGTGTCATGCTGGGGGAAGTAACAGGTTCACTTTAATGCAGAAATTGCTGGGGGTTTTTTGGAACCGCACACGTCAAGTACATTATTTCTATATTTATTGTTATGAACTATACTAGGTGCAGATAGCTGCTGACTATGTCACGTTTCCTCCTCTGTCCCTCCTGCCATTCCTCCTCTGTCCCTCCTGCCATTCCTCCTCTGTCCCTCCTGCCATTCCTCCTCTGTCCCTCCTGCCATTCCTCCTCTGTCCCTCCTGCCATTCCTCCTCTGTCCCTCCTGCCATTCCTCCTCTGTCCCTCCTGCCATTCCTCCTCTGTCCCTCCTGCCATTCCTCCTCTGTCCCTCCTGCCATTCCTCCTCTGTCCCTCCTGCCATTCCTCCTCTGTCCCTCCTGCCATTCCTCCTCTGTCCCTCCTGCCATTCCTCCTCTGTCCCTCCTGCCATTCCTCCTCTGTCCCTCCTGCCATTCCTCCTCTGTCCCTCCTGCCATTCCTCCTCTGTCCCTCCTGCCATTCCTCCTCTGTCCCTCCTGCCATTCCTCCTCTGTCCCTCCTGCCATTCCTCCTCTGTCCCTCCTGCCATTCCTCCTCTGTCCCTCCTGCCATTCCTCCTCTGTCCCTCCTGCCATTCCTCCTCTGTCCCTCCTGCCATTCCTCCTCTGTCCCTCCTGCCATTCCTCCTCTGTCCCTCCTGCCATTCCTCCTCTGTCCCTCCTGCCATTCCTCCTCTGTCCCTCCTGCCATTCCTCCTCTGTCCCTCCTGCCATTCCTCCTCTGTCCCTCCTGCCATTCCTCCTCTGTCCCTCCTGCCATTCCTCCTCTGTCCCTCCTGCCATTCCTCCTCTGTCCCTCCTGCCATTCCTCCTCTGTCCCTCCTGCCATTCCTCCTCTGTCCCTCCTGTCTTTCCTCCTCTGTCCCCCCTTGTTACTCCTCCTCTGTAACTGCTATAAATACGTTATCTCTTCTATAGACTATACTAGGTGCGGATGGCTGCTGATCATGTCACTCCTGCTCCTCCTTCAATTCTTCTTTGTCATTCCTCTATCCCTCCCGTCGCTCCTCCTCTGTCCCTCCCGTCGCTCCTCCTCTGTCCCTCCCGTCGCTCCTCCTCCGTCCCTCCCGTCGCTCCTCCTCCGTCCCTCCCGTCGCTCCTTCTCCGTCCCTCCCGTCGCTCCTTCTCCATCCCTCCCGTCGCTCCTTCTCCATCCCTCCCGTCGCTCCTTCTCCGTCCCTCCCGTCGCTCCTTCTCCATCCCTCCCGTCGCTCCTTCTCCGTCCCTCCCGTCGCTCCTCCGTCGCTCCTCCTCCCTCTTGTCGCTCCTCCTCCCTCTTGTCGCTCCTCCCTCCATTCCTGTTGCTCCTGCCTCCCTCCTGTTGCTCCTGTTACTGCTCCTCCTTCCCTCCTGTCACTGCTCATCCTTCCCTCCTCCTCCGTCGCTCCTCCTCCTTCACTCCCTCCCGTCGCTCCTCCTTCACTCCCTCCCGTTGCTCCTCCGTCGCTCCTCCTCCCTCTTGTCGCTCCTCCCTCCATTCCGATTGCTCCTGCCTCCCTTCTGTCGCTCCTGTCATTGCTCCTCCTTCCCTCCCGTCACTGCTCCTCATCCTTCCCTCCTCCTCCGTCGCTCCTCCTCCATCCCTTTTGTCGCTCCTCCATCCTTCTTAACGCTCTTCCTCCAACTCTCCTGTTGATCCTCTTCTGTTCCTGATGATGTGCTGCGCCTGCGACAGTTAAAGGCTCCAGTCACATGCCCACCCCTTCCTCTCTCCTTGTCCATTTGCAAAATGAGTTGTATTGTTTCTTTGGGGGGGTTTTACAAAATGTACGGCGTTTCTGTAGCTACTGGGGAGATTTTTTTTCTCACATCCTGAATGGTCCCCATGACAGGAAGTAAACAAAATCTCTAGATTTGGTAGCATAGATTGGGTATGGTTGAGAATCTCTGGCAGGGTCAGGTCTTCCCTTCCCTGGTCAATACATAGGAAGTGATGAACAATCTCTCCAGCAGGTACCCAGAGTGCGGTAAGACCTGACAGGGGTTCTGACACTTCTCTAATGTAATTGAAACTGAAAAAAAAATTTTGTCTGGTGTTTTTTTCCCCCCCTATCAGTGCTAAAAAAACAGCAATGATAACTTTCGATGTGGAACTGTTTCCTGCAATACCTTTTCTCAGCCACAAGATGTCCTCAGTCTTCCACATTCCCGAAAGACTGAGGACACACTGTGAGTGGAGGGCATCGTGGACCCACTGCATACAGTACAGTCAGGGGCCACAAGGAGGGGGTTTATTTAGGAGATGGGGCATGGAGCCCAGAGTTGAGCTTTGAATACATGTAAGCTCAGTGTGAATATGGAGTGTATGCAGAGATGGTGTGTTGTTCTCCTCAGTTGGCAGTGGCTTAACCTCGTGCTCAGTAATGTGCAGAGCCATCAGGACGTGAGTAACGGCGCTCTGTACAGACAGCCAAATTCTGGCAGAGAGAGGCATCGAACCCTCGCCTCCCATCGCCCCGGGCTGTTGGTTTAATCTCTGTACACACATGTCGGAATGAGAGGAACACAAAGCACTCTGAGGATTACACAACGGACAGGTACAGTACATAGACGGGGCCCGGCGCCAACTGGAACACAAAATATCTATT